TTTTTTTTTCCTGGGATTAATGCACAGCTGGAGAGCTATAACATCCCAGTTAGAGAATGGAAGAATAAGTACTTAAATTTCTGGGGTTCAGTTTAGAGTTAGCAATACATATTCTGTTGGGGATGATTTTCAATGTAAAATATTCTTCATGCAAATCATTGCCAATTTCTATTTCTTCACCATTGGAAAGCAGTCAGCTTGATTTTTCACAGCTGCTGCCTGAAAACTTCTGGATAATTTCACTTTTTGGGGCTTAAATAGTCTTATATCTGAAAGATTTCAGACAGGCTCCTGTGTTGCTGCTGCAGAGAGGGGAGTGTCTATACTGTAGTATCTCCCACCTGTGGCAAGTTGACTGACATGGATGCGGAAGCTGAAAGCTGAGGCGTGCAAAACTGATGTGCTGTGCCTCTGGCAACATGCTCTTGTCTGTGGTATCTCCTGTTAGTTAGAGGGAAATTCCAAATTGGTGAAAATTCCTTTGTGGCATTAAGCCACAAAGATGTGTTTTACTCCTCTTGAAACGGAGTTTGTAAAAAGTTCTGGCCTGCCTGAAATATCACTTCATTTTGATTGTCCCAGCATAAACAGTCTCTTTCTCTGCAATGTTAAAATACCTCAGGACAGGACTTTACTTTTTTTGGGTCACTCCTGGTTCTTTCCACTTTCCCCCCTGTGGAGTTCAACAGAGTCAAGAGAGCTATATCATAGAATCATTGAATCGCTCAGGTTGGAAAAGACCTTAAAGATCATCGAGTCCAACCACAACCTAACCATACTACCCTAACTCTTAACAGCCTTCCACTAAATCATGTCCCTGATTTAAAATTTTTAAACACATCCAGGGATGGTGACTCAACCACCTCCCTGGGGAGCCTATTCCAGCGCTTAACAACCCTTTCTGTAAAAATGTTTTTCCTGATATCCAACCTAAACTTACCCTGGCACAATTTTAGGCCATTTCCGCTTGTCCTGCCACCTGTCAAAAGTGAGAAGAGACCAATCTCGCTCTCACTGTAAGCACCTTTTAGATATTGGGAGAGAGAATAAGGTCTTCCCTCAGTCTCTGTTTCCCCAGACTAAACAGCCCCATTTTTTTCAGTCTCTCCTTGTAGGGCATATTCTCCAAGCCCTTCACAAGCCTTACTGCCCTTCTCTGGATCCGTTCCAGCACCTCATTTCAGAGCAGTACTAGTGTGGACTAACGTGCCCATTTAATGAAGACTGCTCTGAAAGTAATGCCTCCTATCTTATTATGTTGGCCCATCACATCAGAAGCAGATGGTATGGCAGTAGAGGTTGAACCTTCCAGCCAATATTCCATTAAATTTTGTTGCCATGGAACAGATGGCAGCGGGGGGACAGTATGACAGAATGGTATCTGACATGGAAATGCATATGAAGCAAAGGTGTGGAACTTTTTTTTCCTCCATGAGGAAAAAAAAAATTGACAGCTATTGACATCCACTAATGCTTACTGATTACTAATGCACTAATTACACTAATGCTTACTTAATGTTTCTGCAGATAGAACAGTGGATGTGAGCACAGTGAGGTGGTGAGTGTTGTGTTTCATCAATGGTGATAGTAAGGTGAAAGACAAGCCACTTTCCAGACAGCCATTAAATTTTTTATAAGTATGGCATACCAGCTCCTGCTCATTCCTGGCAAAAATATTAGTGGTGGTGGCAGTGTCAAAAACCAGTGTTTTGTAGCTGAGAATCAATCTAATAGCGCAACTGTGCTCTTTGCGTCTGTTGTTGTTTCCATGGAAAAAAACAGGAAGCATTACTTTCACAGCAACATAAGTTGTTGTTTAGCAGACTATATATATCCATCATCATAAATCTTATGAGCTTAATAAAACTCAGCGAAGGGGCAGCTCATTTTTCTTTGTGAGCCTGACACAGAAATCTGTTTTTACACTGATGTCTGAGCTTGAGTGCCATGTGCTTTTTGCATGAATTCTCTTTGTGATGGAAAGCAAATATTTTGTAACAGTTCAATAGTAGGCCTGGACAGGCCAGATTTCATAGGAGTCTGAATCATTTATGACTAGAAATACAGACCAGGTGAATGCCTGAGCTTTCTCTTAGACTTGCTGATTGACAAGTTAGTGGTATGTTTTGAGATGCAGAGGGAAAAAAAGCAACATGGAATTCTGAGCATGTGTGCTGTGAATGTCTGAATCCAGAGAAAAATCCCAGTCCATGTTAAGCCTTGAGTCATGTTACTTTATTTCTGTTATCAAGCATTAATTTTATTTCAGGTGTTTTGTGGGACAATCTATGGGTAGTGCACTGCTAACTTTCCTTCCATTAAGAGGCTTGTAAAGTATTGCACTGCACAGTTCTATGAGTAAGAAGAAATATGATTTTTTTATTGTTTTTAATCACTGATCATTCTATTGATTTTAATTGATTATTAGACATATTAATTGATTGCTAGACATAATGCCTCTCTGCTCTCTCCCTAAAATTCACACTATGAAACTAGTACACTCACTAGCGGCTTCAGGCCTGCAAAAAATGGGTGTTTACTTTCTGAATTTAGCTCAGGGGAACTCAGGGCAGAGGAGTTAAATGCAGGTGTCAGACAGTCTGGCCACAGTTTATTGGCAGATGTACTCTCTGTCAATAGCAACAGTATCTTCTTTACCAAAGCACAGTTTTAAGATACTATTTTGTTAGTCTTCACTTGTTACAGAAGAAGCTTGTTACCCATCAGTATAAATGAAGGTGGAGACCAAAGCATTACATGGCTCATGCCTGGTTCCACTCTGCCTGTAGATTTCACTCACCCTTTTTTCCAGCTGTTTCCTGAAATTTTGTTTGGCTGCTTCACTGTCATTCCTTTTATCCACACTTTATCTGAAGAATCCACAGTTTCCTCTCCCTCTGAAATTACCTGATTCTTTCTGGGAATGGGAGTAGTGGAAGAATAAGTAATAGGAGAGGAGTTTGAGGCTGCAAACTTGTAAAATACAGGAGCTAAGTGCAGGAGCCTTCTGCTAGGTTCTTCTTACACCAATTCCTGCTTCTTTTTCTGTGCTGAATGTCCTGTCCTCTTTACCTTCTCCCACAAATGCACGGAAAATTTAAGAGTACTTAACACAGAAGGAACATGTTCAGAGAGGTATTTTCTCATGCTTGCTGCTTTGTAACTTTTTGAGGGTTAGGTCTGTGAGTTAGACTCAAAAAATAAATGGAGCAGTGACTTCGTATTTGTCTGGTCAATAAATTATTTTCTGTTTGTACGCTCTTTCTTGGATATCTGATAAAGAACAGCTTATATCTGTGAATGATACTGTGTGCAGTCCTGATGGGTGAGGTCTGCATCATGGCTGAGCCATGGCTGTGCAGGAACTGGCTAATGAAACAAACAGCTGCTTCATCACAAGTAAGTAGGCAGGAAGCTAGTTATAATTACGAGCCTCATGGCATGAGCCAACAGTTTTCAGGAAATACTACTGCAGTGTATTATGCCTTACACTTGCTTTTTTTTTTTTTTTTTTCTTTCCTTTTTTTCCCCCCTATTTCCCACAGCTTGTTAAATATACAACAGTTCTCTTTTTTTCTCTCTCTGCACTGTACCAATGATGGAAGCTATTTTTAGTCCTTGTCAAATTACAGCAGCCTTTTTACAATCACAAAGTGGTGAAAAAAAGGCCAGCAACAGAGTGAAGGCAAATATTTGTAGCATGTCATAAACCTTTCTTATAACCTAAATATTTAGAAAAAAAGAGGAATGTAGGAGGATGCTGTGCTTTTTAAAACATGGAAAAGATAAGGAGCAGACTCCTTTCTGAGTGCACTAGAAGCTGGAGAAGTTTTTGCTGCAATAAGAGGGAGCAAGAGGACACTTTCCTTATGTTTGCTGACTAAGGATGATTTAGAAAAGTCAATGTTTAACTTTCAATTAAAAGAAAAAACATGGTGCCAGTTCAGCTGGCACATGGAGGCTGCATTTAAGAAGAGCTGAAACCACTGTCTCCAGTGTAACAAACATGAAAATCATCCCAGTGGCTTTTGAGGGACTCACTGGCATCCTAAGAGCACCAATACCATTAAGATTTTCCTTTCGCAAATATTGGAATAGAAAAGACTTCAGTGTGCTCTGAGGAAAAAGTGGTACAGCCTTTTGCTGAAAATGGCCTTCTGCCAAAAGCCCCAGTCAGTGCTTGGCACATTTTGAGCTCCTGATTGTTCATTCTTAAGTTGTTTTATTCTGAAAAAATGTCTTTGCTTCATTTTTTTTTTTTTTTTTTTTTTTAATCTTATTTTGTCTTCTTCAATTCTCAGCTGCTTGCTAACTTTTCCTTTTGTGTCCTCTCTGACATGGAAGATGGTGCTGCAGCTTCACTACTGTCAAAGCAATTGAGTGGGGGGTAATTCAGCTTTACTCTAAGGCACCGCAAGCAAATTTTGTGCTGTACACTGTAAAGCTTGAGATTTAGGCTTTAGGTGACCCAAGGTGTCCTGTTTTAATCTGTTTCCTAGGTATCCTCTCTTGTAGCCTCTGTCATATTTCAATGTTTCATTTCTTTGCTGTGTTGTCAATAATTATCAATACCTGGCAAGAAGTTGGTACTTCAAACAGAATCTGTCCTGTATATTGTTAGGTAGAAGTGTGCTTAACTGTGTGCAGCATGAAAGGGAAAGGTAAATGGGTGTAGATGCTATCAAATTAGCTTGCTGTTTAAGTGTAGCATTACTGACAGTTATTCAAAGTCTGTGATATGTTTAGAGCATTAAAGAAACACTTGAACAGTGAAAACATATACTCATATCTATATGGATCATAACCTGATTGTTAAAAACATTTGAGTTTGGTTGTTTGTCATTCTCATCTGCATAATTACCCTAAGAATTGCCCTTGGTTTTGATTATAATACCATTACTTCTTGACTTAGCTGAGTATTTCTGATGGCTGAACATAATGTTTTTGTTATCTGCTGCCATATTCATATTCTCATGCACACTTTATTTTTTACTTTGCAGATCATGAAAAATGTGATGATGATGAAATGGAGAGACTTTACAAGTCATTAGAACAAGCAAGTCTGTCTCCCATTGGTGATCGTCGGTTGTCAACCAAGAAGGAGCTTAGGAAGTCGTTTATCAAACGCAGCAAAAACCCCTCCATTAATGAGAAACTCCACAAAATTCGAATGCTGAACAGCACACTAAAGGTGAGATTACAGACTGAGCCAAGGAAAAGCCTGAGAGAAAGAAATATTTTGGCTAAAAAAAAAAATAAAGCCAAACTCTAATTACAGATTTACTTTAAGCTCCAGAGAGTTTGTTAGGTTTCTGAAATTGTTTTCTCTTTTAGTCAGAATTGTGGTCTGTGTTTTGTTGTTAAACTTGATCTGGGAGCAGAGGCAATAGTTCAGAAGGGACCCTTTTGTATAAATTCCAGCCCGTTTGGAGAATTTAATAAAGAACATCTCTCTTCATTAGCTGGGAAACCTGCAAGCTCAGCTGAATACCCTAAACAAGGGAGCTTTAAAAAAGGAAGAGCAGAAAAAATACCTTGTTGATAAAGGACACAGAAATGACCATGAGCCAGAAAAGTTTTCTTTGTGATTACTGGGGAATGTACAGGATGTGCCAAAGCTTCTGCAAAGACCTCCTATAACAAATATATTTAATAACAAAAGCATCCTGCTTTTATGTTGCAAACGTACTGTGGACTGAAGGGGTGGAGGGATTCAGGGAACATTTCATGAAAAGGCCAATAAATTTGTCTGGAATATGAAGATTTATGAGACTGCTTACCCAGTATCATTTTGAATGCCATGGGAATTCAAAACTTGCTTCTGAATGGTATTCAATCAAACAGAAAGAATAGCCATAACATTTAAGTTCTAAAGAGAAAGAATAAAGGCCAATCAAGGGCTTCACTAGAAATAGGATTTGATTATCATACTTTGGTAAGTGTATTTGGCTTCGGACGTAGCACCCTGAAGAAGTTCATATAAAAACTTCTCTGATCATTGCAATCAGTGATTACTTGCAACAAGAGGCTTGGCTTTGGCACCCAGGCTTGTCTTAAACTTTCTGAAAACACAGTCTAAAAGACAATTTGGAATGCAGCTGTTCTGCCTTCTTCAGGACTTCCAGGCTCCATATGAGACCTGGTGAAGTTTCTGCTCAAGATAAATGGGTCTCCTATGACATGGTACTACCATATTATCCTTCTGCATCAGCAATACAGTTCAACTTATTATAAAACAGAAAGTTTAAAAAACATACCTATTTTATGACACAGAAAAACAAATATGGAAGCATGTATCTAAGTCTTTCCCTAATATGAATCTCTCTAATAAATCTAAGAACTAGTTAGTACATAATGGAGTTGTATGCTGTGCAGTAATCTATTTTATTAGTTTGGATCTGAATGCAAGCCTTTCTGTCAGACATGAGCAAGGAGAATAGCTTTACAATGATTTAACCCAAGAGTATTGTACAAACTGTGATTAGCAGTGCCTATAAACTTAGACTTGTCTTACATTTGTATTTAGTATGGAAAAATTATTTTTGGACTGTTCACAATGCATAAAATGTGTTGATTTCTTTCTTCAAGTTAAGGGATTGGAGTATTGACAAGACAAATATAGTGCAGTGTCTGAGAGACACGAACAGAGTTCTATGCACAGCAGTGTTTGCCTGTCTGAAAAGCAAATGCTTGTAGTAGGAATGTGCTATATTCTTTGCATCAGTAGGATGGTGTGCTTTTAAAGTCAATCATATTAACATAAAATGTGAGACATGAGATAATCTGAAATGATCTATTGGAAATTTCAAGATCAGAGTAGTTTTACATCTCATCCATATTTACAGTGCTTTAGACAGAAACCTCTTAGTTTTAAGGCAAAAGATTAATACAACATTCAGTGTGATCTTAATTTTGGTCTTTTGATACAATTTTTTTAACAACAGATAAATGTTCCTGCCATGATATATCATTAACAAGACATACTTTGGATTGTTAAGAAGTGAGAGAAGCTATGTGCAAATGCATCACAGTCTTAATGAATGTGGGAAATAGATTTAGTGCTGCAGAAAAAATCCACAGTATGGCTTTTTGCCACCACATGCATTGTAAATACTCCTCCCTTCTTTTTCCTTATTTATTCTTTAGCTCTTAGGCTACCAGTGTATCTACATACTGATGCCAGAAGCCCTCATACAAGGACTGGTCTTAAAGATAGGACCAATGTAAACCAACAGCTTAATAATTTTTTTTTTTTGCTTGAAAAGTTCAGAGGGGTTAGAGTTGTTGATAGTTGATTAGAATAGCAGTGGGATATGGATGTGAGGGCAGCCTATTGCTACTATCAGGAAGTATTCTGAATGTGTGTGTGTTGACAAGGTGTATTGAAGTCAATTGCAGGCACAGTGTCCTCAGGTATGATGAAACACTTGGCAGTAGAGAAGAAAGGAATGTGTAAAGAGGATAGAACCAGACTATTTTCAGTGGTACCCAGTGAGACGACAAGGGATAGTGGGCATAAAAGGAAGCACAGGAAGTTCCATGTGAACATGAGCACTTTTGGGGTAACAGCACTGGCACAGGTTACCCATGTTGATGGTAGACTTTCCATCCCTGGTGTTATTGAAAAGCTGCCTGAATGTGATTCTGGGCACCCTCCTCTGGGCAGTCCTGCTTCAGTAGGAGTTGGACCAAATGACCTCTGGAGGTTTCTGCCAACCTCAATCATTCTGTGATTCTGTGACATCCAGTTTCTTAGTCTCCCTGTATCATGACATGATTGCCCCTGTCTTTCAACTGAACCAGGGTATTCACATTATACAGTCTAAGCTGGTCCTGTCTGGAAGTAGAAGCCAGATTTGTTAAGATCTGGTGACTAATGTATTAGCACCCACATGTACACTAACTACTTACAGGCTACACTGCCAGCATACGAATTAATTTACCAGTGTCTAATTTTCTCAACTTTTCATTCATAAAGTTTTGCTAAGAATCCTATAAAAGCAAAACAAAACAAAACAAAAAAACTGCATAAAATCATAATCTCCCCTTCAACCAGGAGGAATTCTTCCTGTGGACTTGACTTCAATAACCTTGATTATAAAATGTTGCCAAGAGAATGGATCATTGGCCATCTCCCTGTGACATGGTTCTGTAATGTTCCAAGGGTGATTTGTTATAGATGGTGATCTTGACAGCGTTTATGAGAAATAACTCTTGATCTCTTCCTAGTGTAAGGAACATGACTTGGCTACAATTAACCAGTTGTTAGAGGACCCAAAGTTGACGGCGATGAAATACAGAGAGTGGAGGAACACAAACATCATGCTAGTTCAAGACATCTATCAGCAACAGGAGGTCCAGGATGTGTCTACAGAGAACAGCGAGGAGCAAGAGACAACTGCACTGCCTGTCACTGAAAGTGCTATATGAAGCCATGGATTGACAGTAGACTGCAAGATTTTTTTTCCCCAAGAGTCTTCACACACAGACACTTTAAACTGCTGCATTGTGAGGTTGGTTTTTTTTGTCAAGTGTTCTTCACAAGTTAAACAGCCCCTTCTCCAAAACTTTATTTCCTTTTGTAAATTCCTCTAAATCAAAAAAAGGGATGCCTGAATTTGGGTTAAGACGAATATTTCATGAAGAAGTGAACAAATATTTTTCCATACTGGGAGAAGTAAGTGGCATATGTGCAATTCCTGGAAATCACAGTGATGTATAATATGGACTGTAGAATTGTCAGATCCTTGGGGTTTTGTTAATCATTGAACTTACTGATAAAAGAAGCTACAACAATGCCAACAGTATGTAGTCTTCTATCTACCTTTTGACCCTGTATGGTAACTCAAAATTTATAAATTTTTTTCCATCTCTACGTTCATTCACTTTGACTGCTCTACCAGTCTAAACCAAGACAAATTGAGTAGAAATTATGCATAAATTTTTACTACACACCACTGTCAGGCACCCAGTTTTGTTATGCCTCATGTTGTATGACATTGACATTTATTTATGGACCAGACCAAAGTACTGCCATTCTTCAAGAACAGAAGATCTCTCTGTGTTTGGTAACATGTAAATAGCTCTTCAGTGAGGTAAATAATACCTCAAAACATATTTCAACTTCTCTTATGGATTTGGCAGAACTTCCTGGATGGTTACTTGCTTCTTTCATATTTTAAAGAAGCATGAGTAGGTAGGGTACAAGTTCATTCCAAACTCTCAAATCAAGCAAGACGATCAAGTCTGCAAGGCAGAAGCTAAAAACTTAAATTTCTGATGTGGAACTGAAAACATAAAGCATAGCTGCAAATGTTTTTGTAAATATATGTCATTTTATGGCTTATATGAATGTGACTATGTACTGTATATATGTTTTATTTATATATTTATATATGCTGAATTTCCTAATGTTGATAGGATCACGTGGACCAGACTCACTTAGGTGAGAGTGCTTGCATGTTGACTTGAAATGCCTCTTTGTTCCAGTATGAATCACTGTAAGGGCTCTTGAATGGAGAGTACCTTGATACTTCTACTGTAACTGCTTATTCTGTTTTCAACCTAGCTTTGTGATTCAGATGAAGAAAATCCGTGTATTTTAAGGCAGGAGTTTGTTTTTTGCCTTTCCATATTCAGCATTAATGCAAGTAGGAGGAACTTTTCAGAGTTTTGAAAAGCAAGAATTAACCCATGATAGTCCAATTGATGCCACTACAAGTACTGTGGGAATCTGCTCTTCTGTTTGCTATCTTGTGAAGATACTGTCATTAGTTTTTAACGGGGTTTATTTTTTAAAGCAAAATACAGCATATTCACCTGTTCTTATCAGAGATATATTTTATTGGTTTCTTGATCAAGAAAACAAATAGTAGTAACATGAAATATTTTCTGCCTACTTAGCAGTACTTCCAATTGTTGATATTGCAGTGTTAACAGTCAGCAGATTTCCTCTATACAGACATTACTGGAGAAGGGTTGAGCAGATGGTAGCTGGTTGAATGCAGAGCTGCACTCAGGATTGCATCATTGCCTCAATTATAAATAGTTTTAGGAGTATGAGAGTCAGGAACAATGCTGGCATAGGACTTAATAACTGGAGTTAGTTAGTTTGCTGGTGGGGATCAGAAGTTAGATGATACCTGGAAGCGGGTAGCAATGACTAAATGGGGGAGCAGGTAAAAACCTGAGGTTGTTCAAAAGCTAATATTACTAGGAAACCATCGTATAAGTGATGATTTCTGACTGTGCAGAAGCAAGGCATGTAAATACAATTTCTCTTCAAAAGCATCTTCAATAGTTAGATCTTAAGAACAAACACATGCTTAACTGTTCTGTTGAACTACACTGGACTAGTCAGTGCCCTGCAGTTCTGCATAAAGTCCTAGCCAACTCCATTTGCTGGAGTAGGTTTGAATCACACTATGGAAAGAAGTAGGGAGCCTATACCATGTTTTTCACACAGTTTATACCATGATAAGCAAAACAGGTTTCATAAATGCAGAGACAAATGTCCTCAGACTTCCTGAATTCTGCTATTTGTTTTCATTAGATAAAATAGCCTAAAATAATTTTAAATTACTCTCTTTCCAATGGTCAGTAGGTAATTATTGTTGAGCTATTGAGTTTTTGGAAATCTCAGGATGGGTTATATCACCCTCTTAGAAAAGAGCAGAACATTATTGATCAGGGTTAATTCTAATTGAGATATTATTTTAGAGAATTCCTATGTGTTCAAGAAAAATATATGTTTTTTTTATGCAAGTGCAGTATTCTCTCCATTCTCTTCAGCTGCTTTTTAGACACCAAACAAATGGAAAGCATGAGAAATAAGAAGTGAAAATGTTAATAAAATGGGATTAATTTTCTAGCATTATTAATTAACGCAACATTTTTCACCTGGATTCATCAATCAGTTCATCCATTCAGCAATGTGAGAGACACAGATGGAGAAGTACAATGCGTGGGACAATGGCTGCAACTGGTGGATGTGACGGGGAGCCATTGTCAGCAGGAGAAGCTTGGACAACTGTTTGCTCTGCTCAGTCATACTTAGGATAACTGGTACCTGAGCATAAATTCTGTTTGTCTTAGTTTGGAAGGACTGCATTACTGCATCATACTGTGGAGAGGTGTTAAGACTGTCTCTGGTAGCTTTTCTGGAAAACAAATCTCTCTGTTTTGGGGCTGTAGATCTCATGAGCTACCAGAGTGAGTTGAGATCACGTTTCTTTGCCTAAGATAGGAAAAGTGTCATGCTGGGTTTGAGAGCTGTTTCTGCATATAGTTCTGATGATTTACTCAATACTGGGTTCCAGTGGAAACAGGAATAAATTATGTAATACAACCTCCTTTTCTAGAGATAATTTTCTTTTTGAAGGAAACCTTCGTATGGGGAAAAAAAAAATTGCTTCATGTCAGTCAGGAATGTGGGGGGGGAAAAAAAGAGGTGATATTTGGCTTAAAACTATGTAGAATGTGGGAATTTTAAATCAGTTATAACTAGAAAAAAAAGAAGTATAGGCATGCTGTGTCTCATATGGAAGCCTGTGAGCTTACTTGTCTACTACAAACTTAATATAAAAATTTGTATTTTCTGTCTCTTAAAGTATCAAGGAAATCCGTGTAAGGAAAATTCTTGAGCTGTGGTGGAAATTTCCCCTCCCCGCCTCCCTATATATTTTGGTGACATAGGAGTGACTAATTGCAATGAGAGCCTGCGCTAGCCTTATTTATATAAGAAATGCCTTTCTGTTAGCAGGAAACCAAAGTGGTTTTCTTGTAGTAATAGTGCCAGAATGGTATTTCCTGTTTCGTGTGAGACATTTTGAAGCAGCAGACATTTTAAGATGTCATTCAGCATTTCCTTGAACATTTGACTTATCCTATTTTGATATTCTCCAAGCTTCCATGTTCTTTATTTTTCAAGAACTAGGTCCTCTACTAAATGAAAGAAAAATGGAGGTGGCAAACAGGACCAAAATTTTCTCAGCTATGATCTATGAAATTCTTGTTTCTGCGCATAAAAGTGACAGGAATTAAACTTGCCAAAAGCTAGGCAATCCAACATGGAAAAAAAGGTTGATAGGTGTTAAAGAGAGTACTAAATGTCTTGAAATTTGCTGTGAGTAAAGATGCAAAATCTGTCAGCTCTGGAAAAATAATTGTTTTTCTATTTTATTTCATTTCTTTGTGGTAAAAATCTAGGGGAGTGGCTTATGAGATGGCAGAAACTTAAAAATAGAATATGCACGTAATTCCTTGAAAGTTCATCATCCTTAATGCATTACTTTAATGCATGAAATATCTGATTTCAGGTTACTCAGCCTTTAACACTGAAAATTCATTTCCTTGGGAAACCATTCTAGCTACCACAACGTCAGGAGCTTATCCATCCCACCTGGTATATATGAGGTCCATTTTGAGAATATAGGTTTGTTGCATTTTGAAAGGGCATACTGCTTATATAATTAGATTGTATCTTAGGAATTGTATGAATTCCAGTGCTCCCTGGGTCCTAGATGCCTTAGGACCTGCACACATTATTCTGGACCTTGAAGTTGCTTATGATTGTTTTACTTATCCCACCTCAATATAAAGAAAAGAAGATTGGAAAGCATTTCTCTATCACGTGAAAACAGACTAATGCTAATCTAGGAAATATTTAGGCACTTTAATCCTGAATGCTTAGCATGATTACTCTCCTGATGAAATGCCATGTGTGTGTAATAATGGTAGTGCTGTCGTGTAAATCTTTCAGTGTTGAGAAACAGCTAAAAAGAGGAATTGATGAGCCTACTCCATTAAACTCTGTGTAGACAGGGATAGTCATACCTAAAGGAATACCTGCAAGGATATCAACTATGCAGGGACAGGGCCTGCAGCAGTAGGAAGGTACCAATTTAATACTTTCTCTTCTAAATCTATTTTATTCACTAGTTGCGAACTCAAGGCACAGTGTTTGAACTCAGCACTGCCTTTTCACTGCTTGTTGCCCACATGTGTGACTTGATTTTAATGTAGCGATGCTCACAGCTTGGGGAATGAGAGCCTTATGTTTGCACTTGTCAGTTAAAGTTGAAACGAGGGAGTATTTTGCTTAGCCTATTTTTTTTTTTCACTGCAGATTTTTCAGTTTGCTGCTACACAATAAGATAAGACCTGCTGGTTCCTAAAAACAAGTAAATTCTCCTTGGGACTATTATTAATAGTAAACTGAGTAATTTGGAGCCAGGAAGAATCAAGGAGTGGTTTGACTGAGAAATGCTTTCCACTGGCTGGCAATGCAGTTTTGGGAGTTCTGTTTTTAAATTAGCTAATTCTTTCATTGCTTGCTGTAGCTACCACTAAGGAAGGATACCTCATGCTTTATAGTTTCTTCTGAAAGGTGTGAGACATGGCTGGATTTTTTCAACTCTCAGTGCAGCCAGTTTCAATTAAGAAGGAACTGGGATCTTTGTCAAAAGTTTCAGTTTAGCTGGCCAGGCCAAGCAGACAGAACACCACAGAGGTGCGTTTCCTACGAAGTGAGCTCATCTCTACAGCTGCACAGAAAGAACTGCACTCTGTCCTTCTCTCTTCCCCCAGCATCCTACATGCTCCCACTTGTTGCCTCATGATGCTCTGCTCATCTTTTGGCACCTCTGTTAGCTCAGTAGAGTCAGGCAGCAAGGAACAAACCCAACAAGATGGATAATTTTCTATGGCAATACTGAGTAACATTGGCTTATAGAGAAGTTCAGTACCTGCCAGAGCTGTTATAAGGGAGGAAGATGTATTGTGTGGGCAGGCGAAGAAGGAAGAGAGAGCTGAGTAAGTGGGAGAAAAGAAGGGGACCTCTTCCTCTTAGAAGGAGAGCATTATCTTGATGCTGCTTCCCACAAAGCTTTACTTTCTCCAAGTGCTGATTTTGTTTTTCTTTTACTTTGCAACATGTGGTTGTGAAAACAACATGAGGCACCAAATTCCAAGTGAGATTTAATATGACCTCAGCCTGTGCTTTTACCTTCCCTGCTTCACACAGACCCAAGTGTTTCTGCTGCCTCCTTTATTTCTGGGTATGTAAGCCAAAATCCTACAAAAACCAGCACTGTTTCCTTACGATCTTTACTTGCATACTTGCTGCAGAAATTCTGGTATGAGAGGAATTCTGATATGCAGGCATATGAGAGAACCCTCCTGTTGTAGCACAAAATATATAATAGTTTCTGAAGTTCTATAAAAAGAGAAATAAAATTTCTCATTACGATTCAGGTACTTGTTTTATATTAGCTTAAAGATAAAAAATAAAAATACTGGGTTTTCCTTGGCATTCAGACTTTGTCAGTGGGATTGAAGATGATATCTTTACCAGTGACAAAGAGAGGACATGGCCATCTAGATCCATTCCTGGCATCTGACTTGTCGTGTTGGATCATTTCATTTTTTGGAAAGGGCTTGTAATTCTTCTGATGTTATCATTGGCTGGAAGTAAGTAAGTACTTACTGCTGGCTAAGGGGAAAATACCTGTATTATCATTTTGTGGTCGAGAAATATTTTAGTTGTCGTTACTAGAGGATATATAAAATTGTGTGATACAAACTCTGATAGTACATGGAATACTGTCCATGGTAACAAGCTGCTCTTTTATTTTGAGGTGTAAATGTATATCTTTCCTCTTCTCAATCCTGGGCAGACAGGTGCCTATCTCTGGCAGACATGCAAGTTCTCTCTGTAGTGCCTTTGGGAAAATACATTGCCCTGCAAACAGTTCTCAGCATTTTTTCTGATAGCGAAAACTGATCCCTTAGCACAGCCTGCTGGCTGTCAGTGAGACGGCAAGCAAAATATAAATGTACATAATCACACGTGAGAGGGGAAGTGATTGTATTACTGCTGTAGATGTGATGGTCTCGCTTTCCTGTAGAGCAAGTTCTAGATGAGGTGAGAGTGGTTACTGCAGGTGGGAAAGTGGAGATGCTGTCTGGCACACCAGCCCACTGTAGATCTGAAACAATAGCAGTAAATTCAAGCAAAGTGCAGTCTAAAGAGGAAAATGTTCCATGCCAAAGTGGATGTCAGAAAGAGAGGGAAGATATTTCTGGGTGGGGAAAGGAAATGATTACATTCAGAATGGGAGACAAAACCTGTCATTAAAGTCATATCTCAGAGTGGATGATTTTTATTATCTAGTTATTTAACATCAGTGAATTTCAGCTAGCTCTGTAGACCACCCTAAAAAATCAGAGTTGAAAAGCCATAGGTTGTTTTGTCAAAAATGTTCATATGGTGATGTTGAGGACAATGGCATGTAATATCTGTTCAGTCTAGTAAAACCCAAAGCCATAGCCATGATGATATGGCACACAAAAACAGATTAAAATTTAGAAGCATCTCCACTGTCATTGCCCTTGCAAAGGAAGCCATCTTACAATCATCTACTGGATTATTTGTGTTCTTATAGATCTGCTGCTAAAGTATAGGGTACATTTCTAAGGTGTGCATTTTCTTAACTCTTATTTATATTACAGGCAGTGAATTCTTGGCTAGCACTTAAGTTCATAAATTATAGCAGTGGTGAAAATGGCCCAGGTGGTGGTGTTCTTTTCTGTATGATTTGAGAATTTCACTCTACAAATGCCAGAAGGAGCCATGAATAAAATTCTGTACTGCTGTAAAACACAAATATCACCTTTCCAGATTGATGTGATATTTCATCAAGAGCATTATTTATTTGCTGTGAAATTATTTATTCTAGTAAACTCGCTGATAATAAATTGAAGAATTGCAGGTGGCTACACCTTATGAGTTGTTTCCAAAATAGGTTTCTAATACAAGAAAAAGGATGAATTATGGTGCTGACACTGGCTGGAAGAAGCAGGTCAGAGTACTCAGGGCTGAGGCAGCAAGAAAACATCTGCACAAATGTCTTGAAAATGGGGGCAGACATCGACTTATTAAACAAAGATGGGAAAACTGGGGGTTCAGAGGAGTGATGAAGATAGAATTTGGGTGGCAGCACTAGTCATACAAAAATATGAGCATGAAATAACCCCTGGGAACAAATTCCAGATGTAGAAATATATCAGGTATCTCATGTTGGCTGGTTTTGGTGATAGTTTTGAAGTTAAGATGAGAAAGTTTGAGTTAATACTGGATGTATAAGAGGTCACAGATGTCAGAGAGCACTGCATCATGCACCAATCTTTGCTTTGCTTCTAGCAAAACCTGGTGTCTACTAAGAAGGTACTTGTGATTGAATGCAGGCTTACAACATATCAGAATTCAGGAGAAAAATAATTTAGGATCTCTATTATAGGTCCTCCATGATCAAATGGGATCAATTCCATGTAGGAAGTCCAGGGTAG